TATTTAAGTATCCTATTTATGTACGTTTCAAACAAGATATTTATATAATCTGGAAGTTAATTACGATTTCGTTTTATTCATTAAGCAAATAAATCTATATATATATATATATATATATAATTAACTTCATTTTTCATAATATATACATTTGAAACATATGTCCAGTCTTATACATATACATGTATATGCATATTCATATACGCATTATTATTCAATATTGTTTACGATCATTTCAAGAAATCTATTACCTTGAATATTAAAAAGAAACTTTTTTCACTGAAAAAGAATGATCAGATGCGATCTAATAAGATAGTGCGATGATATGCTATATAATAACACAGTTATACAATTGACATTTAATTAGTTTCTCTATGTGTACAATATATAATACACAGTAAAATATTGTCTACTCTATTATTATGTTAATAAGAAATTACATAATATCAATTAATTGTGAATATCGATTTATTCGTAAAAAATACATTTTAAAAATTTTATTTTTTAACAGATATTATTATATTTTGGCCAATGTGTGTTCTATAAAATAAAAAGAAATTTAAAGAAATGTATAGAAATGTAAAAAAGAAAAAAAGAAACATACTCTATAATCTAAAATTTTAATATTTTTTTCTTTGGTAACGAAAAAACTTATATATGAGTTATATGTAATTTTTTTGAATGCAATTCTTGCAGACAAAAAATAACACAGAATGTATATTCTTATATTTTGTAATCGCATTGATTTATATATATTTAAATATTTATATATTTTTATTTATATACGCGTACACATGTAAGTTTAACTGTGTTTTTTTTTCTAATTTATGACAGATTGGATTAATGAGAAGTGGACGTTTATTAGCCGAAGAATCACCACGTGCACTTCTCACTATGTACAATTGTACATCGCTCGAGGAAGTTTTCTTAAAATTGTCTAGGAGACAAGGACAATACTCCCAACCTCCTACGGAATTAAATATTTCTAACAATATTAGCTTGGTAAGTTGGAATCATAATAAAATAATAAATTCTAATATCTCTCACACTCGTTTCATTATTTTTATTATATCAATATATATTTATTTGTTGATATTTAATATTGATTAAATATTATAAATATTATAAATACAATATTTCCTTTTATAAATCACTTTTTCTCATATGAATAAATATATTTTTGAAGAATCTCGTCGAGCAAAAAATATGCAGCTAGTTTTTTTTTTGTTTCAATAACTTCGATAATTCTATCGTGACATATCGCATTCTCTGTTTTAGGCTTCATTAAATTGGGGAAAAAAAGATGAACCAGTCTACGTTACGGAAGAATCTGGTGTGGTTGGTTTAAATTTTTATCAAAGCAAAGAAGTTCTCATTCATGATGTAACAAATGGTGTTGGCAATCATTATGACGTAAGAAGTTACAAATATATGTCTTTTTTTATGTTTGTTTATTAATGCTTAAAATAGTTAAAAAAAAAATGAATATAAAAACCAAACTGAGAACTTATTAATTTTCATTTAATTTTTATTCATTTATATAAATAGTATATATCCTATAAAGGTTTGATTTATATTTTATTTCAATGCAATTAAATTGATCCTAAATAATCTAACTTAATTAGGTTAATTTTTGCTATTAAAAAATTGTTTATTTTCTTAATACTCTCCTAAAGTATGGGTCAAACATTTTGACGTATAATTGAATTATTTTGTCAGCTCACTAATAAACCACTACACGGAAGTAAAGTCGACAAAACGATGGATTGTAATAATTATATCGATTGTTACAATATTACCAGTATAGGAAAAATAAGAGCACTCTTGCAAAAGAATTTCTTGCGCATGTGGAGAAATATTGGGTACGTATACAATTATTTTGAATCAAAATTTTCCTATTAAAGAAATTAAATTAAAAATAATGGAATAAAACTTATCAATATTTTCTTTTTTTTCTTTCGTTCATTTTTCAGTGTTATGTTATTCATTTTCGCATTACCAGTAATGCAAGTAATTCTCTTCTGTTTGGCAATTGGAAGGGATCCAATAGGTTTAAAGTTAGCTATAGTAAATCACGAAATGTCTTATGAAAATATGACGTGCCCTTTCACGGATGGCTGTGATTTCTCTTTTCTAAGTTGTCGATATCTTAGATTTCTCGATAACGAAACGATTATAAAGGTAAATTATTCATTTAAAGATATAAACAAAAGCGTAATTTTTCATTGACGGTTTTGAATTATTCAACACAGAATTATTATCCGGATCCTGGTGAGGCACAAGAAGCTGTAAGAAACGGTGAAGCATGGGGAATGTTATATTTCACGGAAAATTTTACTGATGCGCTTGTCGCACGAATGGCCCTTGGAAGGGATTCTGACGACGAAACTCTCGATCAAAGTGAGATCAGAGTTTGGTTAGATATGTCCAGTAAGTTTTCATTCAATTTATTATTATAAATAACGATAGTATTTATTAAACGTATCATACTAAAAAAAAAAAATCACTGTTATAATTTTTTTCAATTGTTATCACATACTTTGATCTCTAATAAATTCGTAAATTATTTATTATATGCTTAAAAAATAATGAACACATAAAATGGTATTCTCACTTAACAATAAATTTTTATTAATTACACAGATCAACAAGTTGGCCTAATGTTGATGAGAGATCTTCAATATTCTTACCGGGATTTCGCTAAGGAACTCTTGACAGCTTGTAATGAAAATTCAAAATTGGCTGATGTTCCCATTCAATTTAAGAAACCAATTTATGGCTCGAACGAGCCAAGTTTTACGGATTTCGTAGCACCCGGTGTGATACTAACGTGAGTTTAACTATTCATACGTAACATTCATGCTGATTTGTTCTTTTTTACTTGTAAGATAAAATGACGTAAGTAATAATTAATGCGTTTGTTTGCACATTGTAACTCTTTGCCCTTGCGTAAAACAAAAAAAAAAAAAAAGAGGAAAGGAAAAACTTCTACATGTTTTTCTTATTCTTGTTGAACGTATTATTAATCATTTGTCAAACATTATAGCATCGTATTCTTCCTGGCGGTTGCACTTACCTCATCGGCATTGATCATTGAAAGAATGGAAGGTCTGCTGGACAGAAGTTGGGTAGCCGGAGTAACCCCTGGTGAAATTCTTTTCTCTCACGTGGTCACCCAATTCGTCGTAATGTGTGGTCAAACTGCATTGGTACTAATCTTCATGATATTAGTTTTCCGAGTCGAATGTAAAGGCGAAATCGGATGGGTTATTATCTTGACTATACTTCAAGGTCTTTGTGGCATGTGCTTCGGTAAGAAAATTATTACAAATTTTTTACTATTTCTTTCTTTTCTTAACCCTAACGATATTTCTAATTATTAAACAAATCATATCGCAAAAGAATTTATATATTATTTATTCGTCTATCTATCTATCTATATATATGTATATTTACGTATATACATATTTCTTTAATTTTATATTTTAAATATTGACGTTTATTATTTTTAAACATATTATGAGTTACTTGTTTAATTTTTTTTAAGAAACACTGATCCTAAATAGTTTATCCATACTTTGGGTCAGCCATTATATGCGGGCTTCGTTTCGTACTTTACAACAACAAATCTTACACATTAATTCATTCATAGATTATTTTTCTTAACATTATTTTACCCGTCTAAAATTAATTTGAGTTTTAGTATTTATTTATAAAAAAAAAAAAAAAGAAAATTAGATTACATACATTAATTCTATCTATAATAAATTTGAGAATGTATGCTTGCTCGTTTATTATTTCTTAATCCGGGTGAGCTCATAAAGTTTTCCCATTCGAAATGTTTTCCATGCATTCTACATTTGTAATACTCTATAATGATGCAATACATTTCCACAGAATGCAGGCTTGATGATGCAAAAACTAGATCCGATAGGTGAAAAATTTGTACACGAATATGTAGACATATATCGTAGGCAGGAACTTTTCATTGCGTAAAAGTTACCTTAAATTATACAAGCCTATTACTGATTACACGTAACAGTAAACATAAAGTAACTCACTCGAAAATATATACGTACTTTAAAATTTAAATAGAAAGAAAATTATTTGTCTACAGTTAAAAATACACGCGTCTCCTCCTTCTTTTGTCAGATTTGTGATTTATTTAAAATCAATTAATCTTATATAAGATTTGTCAATCTTTTTATTAGCATTATAATTTGACAAATAAGATTGACGGTTTTGGAATCTGAAGAAATATTAATCTAAAAAGTTTCGAACGGGGGATAATTTATTTTGTAAAAAAAATCACTTAGTAATTTTTTACCCATCTCATATATGATATATTCATTTTCTACAGTGAAATTAATATCTTAATCCATAAATTTCATCTCATTATATCACAATTAATATATATTAATATTTATTTTTAATAGGATTCGTAATTTCTGCAATTTGCGAACTTGAAAGAAACGCCATCCAGTTGGCCTTGGGTAGTTTCTATCCCACCCTCCTTCTAAGTGGTATGTATTCAATTTTGTAACATTAAATTTCTCTTTATCAAAATTATCTAGATTAATAGATTAATATTATATAGAAACATATTATAATATTATATTATAACGTATATATACTAACTTATATATACTTGATTATTAACATTTTAATCTAATCTATTTTTATGTTTATTTTTTAGGTGTTATATGGCCCATAGAAGGTATGCCAACAGTTTTACGATACGTTTCACAAGGTTTACCCTTGACAATGGCAACCACAGCTCTCCGTTCGATGCTAACTCGTGGTTGGAGTATATCAGAGCCAGATGTGTACAATGGTTTTATTTCAACCATCGCTTGGATTGTGGTGTTCCTCACGATAAGCATGTTGGTGCTTAAGTTCAAACATAAATAGAGAAAACAAAAAAGAAACGGGTGCATTTTATTAATAAATAGAGCAGAGTTTAGATACAAGAGGGTAAACGGGATCGGGGTTGTTTGTGAAAGGGAGAGAAAAAGAAAAAAAAAAGATGAAAGAACGTCTCTTGTTGTAAATTAAAAATTAAATTTTCATCATATACGTGAGTGTATGTGTGTGTTAGTGTGTATATCATAGAAACGGTATGGAAGAAGAATAGATGGAGAAAATATGTATGGGGTTGAGGGAAGTTGAAGGGGGAGAAGGAAGATCTAATAAGAGAAACAAATCATTTTTACGGGTTATAATAACTTTTCTTATATTCTTATTTTTTTCTCTATCTATCTTTCTCTCTCTCTCTCTCTCTCTCTCTCTCTCTCTCTCTCTCTCTCTCTCTCTCTTTTTCCTTCTCCCCGTAAATTATCATTGACGAGATCTATGATGATTGTGCGCGAACGTATCTGTATATATATGTTGTCAAAATGGTGATTTTTAGCATGATATAAACGTGATTGTATGCGTATTGCGTGTGCCTGTAATTTTTTTTTTCCATATTTCCAATCTCTTAAGGATATATTTTGTATCTATTAATATCTCTGTATATTATATATGCATATATATAAACATATATATATATATATATATATATATATATATACGTACCCTTTTCTGAGAAACGTATAAGATATATAGAATAGATATATAATACATACAGCGAATCTCAGGAATATTTGTACCCCCACTGCCAATTACTACCCCCACTACTTCAAAATTCTTATAAGCAGGAACCTATTTCAGGATTATTCAAATTTTTTAAATTGATATCAATTTTATTACAAAAGAGTATGTTATTTAAAAGGGAAGTAATATTTTACATAACTAATAAGAAAATAAGATTTCATATAAAAGATTTATTATCATTCAAATAAAATTATATTATTTCTATAACAATAAAATATATAACAGTTTCCAAAATTCTACAATAGGTTTCTGTGTATAAGAATTTTGAAGCTTTGCATTTATAGCTTTGCAAATATCAATTATTTAAAATTTATAGTGAAAGTGGGTATGAATACTTCTGTGACACACTATATATATAAAATATTTAGGACGACATTGAAACATATGTTGGTGAATTTATAAAATTTATGTTTATATTTTTAAAGAAGAATAAACGATCTTACCACTTTTTAATGACACCACCCATTGGAATTAAAATATGTAATTAAACAAAAAAATAATACCTTATGATAACTATAGGTGTATATACATATGATGTATGNTTTACATAACTAATAAGAAAATAAGATTTCATATAAAAGATTTATTATCATTCAAATAAAATTATATTATTTCTATAACAATAAAATATATAACATTTTCCGAATCGTTTAGAATTATTCGTACGATTCTTTTCGACTCGTAAAAAATTTTTTATCGTTTATCATCTCTTTTCTATATTTTTTTTTGTTATATTTATATATATAAAAATATAATTTACCGTGACCACACACCAAACTGTTATACACATGAATTTTAAGAAAATATTTTCATAAGAAAAAGATATCGTAATTCTCACGAAAGAAAAACTTTTATATATTGACGACAAATATAATAATAATGGTTGATATAAAAAAAAAAAAAGAAAGAAGAAAATGAAAATTAGTAATAAAAAAGAAAACGAACAAAAGAAACTTTTCATGATCTTTTTAATTTTATTTATATTTTATATGCATATGTGTATCTCTTAACCGTCCAAATATGTTAGATGAAACATTCTGTCTAATGTAAAACATTTTTTTTACAATTGTGTTAAAATTAGATTTAATAAAAAAAAAAAAAACAAATATATTTTTAACGATTGAAAATTATCATATTCGATTGTAACATATATAATCGTCCCCATTTTTCCAACACACACAAGAAACGAAAATTATTCGTTTTATTTTAGTTATTTAATATTATTTGCATATCATGACCTGATACGGGGAGGGAGGCACACTTTTGTGCATAATAATGCGAATAAAACGTTTAATATTATATTATTCTTTTAATTTCGTTGAAATCTTTGAACATTACCCGTCCTTTATGTGTCACATTTTGATTGTGATGTTCGGTTTCGATTAAATCCCTCGAAGTTGTGATGACGAATTTGAGATATCACTAAAAATTTTACAATTAAAGATAACAATAGTATGAAAACGAGTTTATTGAATAAAAAATACAAGAGTTTGATATGTAAGACGGAAGAATACTGACAATGAGATCATAAATGGAAAAGCCAACTATTAATAAAAAGCACAGAAGCAACCGCTAAATATACGAAGCCCACATAAAAATATATAATATTACTGTATATGAATAAACATTAACGTATAAATACAATTGCAGGTAACATAAGTAAACAAGTATACAAAAGAATTTAATAAATGAATATCGGTATTAAAAGCAGTACGGTATTAATGCAATTCGATATCAACGCAGCTAGCTGCATAAAACTCGCAGGAGGGATTGACAATCACTGTTCTCGAGCGTCCATTTTTCTTTCTTTTCTTCTTATCAATGTTTTATTTCTTCATTTAGCAATGATTCGCTTCTATATCCCAAGAGATGAACAATCATTCTTACACACGACTTATATCGTTCGTAACATTTATGAAAATTACTCTATTCCAATACCTTATTGAATTAATGGTATTATTATATTTGCGAATTGCAATAATTTTTTTTTCTATTTGTTTTACTTGCAAAATATGTTTTTTACTTCGTAAAGAAAAACCGTACCTACATACACATTAATATCAAAATAAGTTATAAAATTAAGCTAAGAATTTGTTTAAGTGATTATACAGATCAATCGTTTTTTTCCTTAAACTTTTCAAAATAATTATTTCTTCACATTAGTAAACTAAAAATACAATCAGGTACTTTCAGCTTATTCTGTACGATTCGTATTAAAATTCTCTATTATATTTAACAATATCTCCATAACAATCACAATAACAGATTTATACGGAAAATTCTTTAATACTCTCTTCCCCTTAGATTAGATATTTATACATTATTAACATTAAGTTTATAAGATTCATCTATAGTGAACCACATCCGATTTTCTTCCACTCTATTTTTCCAGTAATCTACAAATGTATTAAATAAGAATACATAAAATTGGTATAATAATGAAAACTAAAAGAAACAAAAAAATAAATAAATATCATTGAAATATGATTAAATAAAAATATAAAGAAAAGAAATTTAATTATCAATGAGATAATAAACTTGAATTTTATTCTAGATTTTTAATTATTCGAATTTCAAATAATTTTATCTTTTTACTAAATTCATATCTCACAATCAATTACCTATATTTTTCTTTCTATAATCATATTTTATTATTTTATTTTATTTTTTAAATGATTAAAATTTCTTTTAATCTATAAATATATAGAGAAAAAAAAAGAAATAAAATAATTTAATAAAATTTCACCTTTCAAATCGTATATAGATCCGTCAGAACCACCATATTCGATCGGTAATATATCATGTTGAACCATATCGAGAAATGTTTTCGTTCCGCGTGTGTGCACGTGTATTCTTTGCTTCAATTTGTTTGTCATAAAACTTTTGAACACATTTAATATAACATTTACATAAGTTGGTGAATTTATAAACTGTAATGCCTGTATCCTTAAAGGGTAACAACCTTGCCAAGCATGTACTAATTTTTTAATTACATTCGGTGGAAATTGAAGCGCATGACCAAGAGAAATACCTGCCAAATCCATAATAGCTATTACACCATGCAACGAAACAGATTCATTTTCTCTTATTGCGAGATCCAATATCATCAGAGAAGCCTAAAGTAATACGAAAAGAAAAAGAAATATAATTATTTACATCGAACAAAAAATACATGCATAACAGACATATTTAATGTATACGGGATGTCCCGTAACTGGTGATACAATCAAACAGTAGCTAATTTTTTACATGAAAAATTAAATAATAAATGTAAAATAAAATTCTTTCATATGAAAACCCAGTTACAAAACATCCTATGTATATAAAGTAAACGCGTGATCAGTTAAATTGAATTAACAAATTTAATCAGATTTGGAAATATAAAAAATATATAATTAGTACATGAACGGGTGATCCGTTTGAAAAAAAAAAAAAACAACTAAAAACAAAAACCGTGTGCTTTTGACTCCAGTGAGACGATAAACTTTGAGAAGTTACAATGGAGTTAATGATACATTTTCAAATTATATTATAAAATTTATTAATTTTAACTTCTTATACCTTCAGCATATCCGCTAACTTTTGTTTACTAGGATCATGAGTAGCGACTCGTATTAGAATTACCAATCTTCCTTCATTATCTAATTTCCTCATTGGCAAAAATACCCTATAGAAGGTAAACTATTACACATATAAAAATATACACAAAATGTATTCAAGCAGGTGGTATAACCGTGATTCTACAGGTAAAAATAAGTTGAAAAGAAAGTATCGTTTTTTTAATTAAGATCCTATTATCCAAAAAAAATAAAGTAATTAGTACGTGTGCACTAAACTATCTCTGAACTTTGAGTTAGATGTGTGATAATTGATAATCAACATGTCATGTTGTACTTTTTGAAGCCTATTTAAGCAAGATAAAAGAAGAAAATTTATATGACATTTTGTACTTATTTTAATATCTACACACAGTCTTAGAAATATTTATACAAATTTACGATACACCCTGTATAATTATTTAAAATATTAAATAATAATCGCTGTGTAAATATACAGTAAATTTGAAAAAGTTCTTAATTAGGTTAAAAATTCCTAAATGATATATGAAAAATCAATTACTTTTTTTCGAAACTTTTTAGAATAATTTTCTATTTTTTCGTATTATAAAATTATATCTTACTTGTAAACCTATACAAGCCTAACTTATAGATTTGACAACGTAACTATAAGACTAAAATATCTCGAAAAAAAAAAGTAATTAATTATTAAAATCAATTAAGAACTTTTGAGCCATCCTGCATAACTAAATGATTCAATTTACCCTAATTTAAACATATCCTGTAATTCGGCCAGAAAAGGATCCTTATTTGCATACCATTCAGGAATATTACATCTTTGTTCATAATAATTCCATAGCTTGTACTTCGTTTTTTCTATATTAAATTTGCTAGTTCTTAAAAAACGTAGAATAAAAAAGTCGTCTATAAAAGAAAGAAAACATAATTTTGAAAATTTATTAGGTGAAAGATTTTCTTCTCAACCCCCCCCCCACCCCCCGTAGTAGGAAACGATTTTATTTATTTTTTTCTGGAATTTACAAACAAAAAAATCGAAGATTGCCTAGAAACATTTTTCTATATTGAACTAAAAATAAAACTATAAAAGTAACGCGAATCGTAGATGCAAATTCATTTGAGTAGGTAAATTTGGCATGCACACAATGCTCCATATATAAAAAAAATAATAATAAAATAAAATATGTGTTCACATAATTATTTTAATAAATATTGTAAACGATTATTTTATTTTTATTTTATTTTATTTTATTATATATATATTAATATTATTATTATTAAAATTGTAGTATATATATATATATATATACACTACACATATATAGATTATATTCAATAACCGGATCGAACTATAACTCTGTTCTTATTGCAGATAAAAAAAAAAGGTGCAATTTGCATCTGCATCGACGCACTTCCACAAAAACTCGCACTACTTGATGATAGAATTTTTTGTATTTACTAAAGAAACAAAGTTATAGACGAGCTCTTTTATTGAATACACTTTGCATACATACATGTATTAATAGAAAATAGAAAAAACATATATATATATATAAATAAAATTTTAAATAAATATAAAACATTTTTACCAGTGCAAGCGTGTAGATTGTCATGTTTTAAAATCCATTCTCGTATTTCTTCAATCTTCTGCGATCTGTTGTCATCCGTTTCGTTCAAATTTGCCGCGGCATAATCTTTTTCAATTTGAGATAGTTGACAAACGTAAGATTTTGATTCTGTCATTTTATAAAGATTGTATAAAGATAAATGCAAATTTTCGAATATCAGTTATGTCACCAATTCTAAACTATTATATCTTCGATGTCATGAATCTTCGATTTTACCGTAAAAAGAAAAGCAAACACTAATTTTTTTGTATTACCAATCATCTGTAGAAAAAACTTTATTTAGATATCACTTGTATAAAATTGATCATCTCTAAGAGTAAATTAAATCGACTAGAGCAGAGAGTAAATCGGTGAAACGTAAATAAAAATGATTGACTGCGCCATCTGACGTAAAGATAGCGCGTATTTTTATCCTAATGAATTGACAAAGATAAATAATTTTTTATCTTAGAAGAGATAATTTTTTTCGTGTACATAACTTATCGAAAAACTTTATTCTTTATAACCCATATGAACAATGGGAACGTCTAAGAAGATGATAAATAAATGACCTTTGCTGTTGCGTCCTTTAATGTACATTTGATATTAATAAAATTCACATTTTTTATTAGATAACATGTTGAACTTTTGTATTGGAATATATATGAAATATTTAAAATACATCATGACATACAACATGATATCATGACATATTACACAATAATATAACAAAAAAATAAAAATTTCTTAGAGCTTATACATTCATTTTTGTATATATATTATAGTTTTCTACGAAATTAAACAAATCATATCAAAAATTATCTTATACATACACATGTATAAGATAAAAGTATAAATTAAAAACATATATTATATCACATAATATTACATGATTTACACGTGTAACAATTTATTTTAAATATTCCTCTCAATACAAAGTTAATAAAATCTTACAATTGAGTTTTAAATTCTTTTGTGTGTGTAAATAATTAGATTAGTTTAATGTTGTACTATATGCTACTCAACAAATATTGTCTCTATTACGAACTACTTAATTACTTGTATGAATAACAAAAATGGAATATTAATCTTACGTACAAATATTATATAGTCATATTTAAAGATAATTGTTAATTTGTAAAATGTACCGTACTTTATAATGTTTAATACAAAAATACGTAATATACAATTCTATTGTGATAAGATTACAAAATTGTTCGCTTCATTGTTTTTTAATTCTATAATTGAAAAGCACTATGGTAGCAGTAAAAAAAAACTAAATTATAATAAAATATATATATACATGTAATTGTAGTAATTGCACAATAAAGAAAGGCATATTGTAATTGAAATGAAACAATGATTTCAAAATATAAAATCATCGTTCTTTTCGATAATACTTAAAAGTGGAATTTTATTTAAAAAAAAAAAAAAATAAATAAAAAAGAAAATAAAAGTGGATTTTTATTTTTTATTTTAAGTATAGTTTATTCATGCTAAGTCTAATACCTAAGGTTTTTACATTGGTCGTATAACTGTTGTTTAGCATAGGTAATATTTTGATAATGATAAAGATGGGTTCTCACTCTATTCGTATCTTGGGACTATCGTCGCAAGATCGATAAAATAGAGTAAATAAAAGTGAAATGTATAGAAAAATGAGGAATATTTGATTATTTCTGCAAAAAATAAAAATCCAATATATATTACTATAGTCCAATGGATCCCAAAACATGTGCCGGGGAGCCCTAGAAAGTCATAACTTCCTCACAAGATATTCCGGAATATTACAAAATTTTTATAATTTTTGAGATAAGGAACATTGATTTTTTGGTTAATAATAAGACAAAAAATTCCATACAAATATATATATATATCTATATATATATATGTGTCTGTGTGTTGTGTGTGATACGTTGATTCATACAATGCATACAACTTTGTACTCTAAATAAATTTTTATGTAGATATTATTGCAAAGAGATCTTTTTTACACGGCACCAAATATAAAGAAATATTATTTTATATTCATTGTTATGTAAGCTCTTACACAAAATATATGAATATATATTGTAATACTTGAAATTAATTAGAAGGTAGAAAATACTTGAAGGTAATTAGAATTAGTAATTATAGACTCCTATGCATAATATTGCAGAAATTGTTTTATCTCATACTATTAAATCATTCTGAAAAAACAAATTATTTTTTGGATTAATTTAGTAATAGTGTATACATATGTTATGTTCTTAAATTACTACAATCAAAACATATTGTATTTAAACAATTCAATATTTCTACAGGGATTGCGTGATCTCAAAAAAGGTATAATGTAGCATGCATGACTTTTTTATAAGTTTAGAATATTTCAATAAGATCTTATTCTGATCAAACTTTCGTTAATATTTCGTTTATAAATAGCTTTAGAAATCAAAGAAGGTTAATACTTCTTTACTTAGAAACTGCTCTTTAGAACTGCCATAAAAAAGAGAGAACATTCCGTTTAAAAAAATAAAGTTGTCCTTCAAATATCCTAAACGGCTTTACTTTAAACATCATGGACATCACATTATGCCCTTTTTGATATCATATAATCTCTATAGAAATAATTTGTTGTTTATTGTACAATTTAGAACTTATTCGAGGTAATCAAGTTATGTGCCTCACATTCTATATATTAACATATGTATTTTAAAAATGATTGAATTTTAAAAAGACTAATATATAAAATATTAACTATACATACATAGTATTTATTTGTAAAACTGTTTCCAGATTCTTGAACACGTCTCATAATATAAAATCATATATATTCTCATTTTAGGCATCCATTGAATTTTCTTTCACTACCTTTTTCATCACATCATTATCACGCGTGGAAGAAAGTGCATTACTGACAATTTCTTGATAATATTCCCCAAACACACTTCTGTTATGAGAAACAAGTATTAAAAATTGTGCTGCTATAGCTGTTAATTCTTCTTGAAGAGACGAAAGACCAATTGGTACTTGCTGAGGAATAGCACTCTTAGATTGTATAATTCTTTGCAAAAATTGTCTAATCCTTAAATCTATAAAAAAATATAAATAAATAATATATTTGCTGAATTACACAAAAATATATTATTAAATAAAACATATTACTTTACTTACTAACGAGACTTCTGATCTTATGATCTGGTTTAACCAAATCTGTTATTTGTCCCTCTAATGATATTTCTAAATCCGATGACAAATTTCCAATACCAATTTCCTCTAACGTTGCTTTAAGATCTTTTATTACTTGCAAAACGATGTTTGGCATTACCATTTCTAAGTCTCTGTATATAAAACATGAATATATTCACTCATATAACAATATTATATATGAAAAAGAATTATGAAACGTACTTATTTGAATGTACCGAATCTAATAACACTGTTAAATTCTTCTTTACGCTATTTTTAAACTTAGCAACATCTTGTATCGATGTTCCAACGGTATTATTTGTTAATAATAATATAGAACCAATTAGACTCAATCTGCTAGTCTTATCACGCAATTCTACCAATCTACCTTGATCAAGCATCAATGTCTGAAAAAGATATTGTGTTGAATAATATAGTTGCAATTTTTATAATATTGTGTGTTCTACCACCATGTATATACGTGTACTCGTACCTCTGCATCTGGATTAAAATCCCATTCTAGGAGATCAAGGTAAGCTTCAGTTAAGAGACGATGTGTAATTTGTCTTACTTGATTATCATGACTAAAATCACTGGCAATTTCTTCTTCGTCAAGATGCCTCAACAACCATTTTTTAGTATAATGTAAACCATTTGAATTAATTTTTAAAAATTCTGCAAACTTAGCTTTTTCATATTCAATACTCGAAGCAACAATACTTGGTCTCATCATAGTTATCGTAAAGTTTGCTAAATCTAGTCTCATCAACTGTAAAGCTTCCATTATACCTTTAAATGTTTCAATAACATCTTGCTCTCCTTTCAGTTCTTCTATTTTTTCATCTCTAACCGGTGCACAAACTTTAGCCATAATAGAAATAATGTAATTTGCATAATGGCGAAAATCTAATACACCCTTCTCTGCTTGCTGTTTAATCAAATCAATATCAAGGACTTCTTTAATATTTTCTTTAATTTTTGAATGATGTGATAATACAAGTTCATCCAATGTCTGAAAAAGAAAAAATAAATTGATTTAAGATCATAAACATTACAATAATATGATTATAAGCTTATGATTTAATTACATCTTTAATTTCTTTTAGTAAAATAAAGGCTTGCGTATAGATCGGTGGATCTTCATTCAATTGTTCTACTAACAAATTCCAAAAAGCCTTATGCATAATTTCTTTAACTTTTCTATGAAAAGTACCGTCATCCGGCTCCAATTTTTGTAATTGAAAATTTGTATCAACCGCAATTTCATGTGCCAAAGCCATATTCGTCATTCCTTTAGCAGCTTTTATAATTTCTTCATGAGACACAAACTTTGGTGGTGATGCTCCAGTCCATCCGCTCATCATATATTGTATATCTTGTCTATTTGATATTATATTAATGCAAATAAATTAAAATATATACAATGAAAGATAAAATATATTTAATGCCATTCGATAAAATATCTTACTCTTTTGTATGTTTATCATCTTCTATTTGACGAGATGAAGTTGGGCATTCTATAGGAATGTTAGGATTATTAATATTACACTTTTCCGCATCTTGCTCCATTTTTTGATCTCTACAAATTTAAATATTAGAATAACTAATATTATAATATTAATGTAATAATGTGTATAAATTATCAAAGTTTGTTAATATAAAACTATTATAAAACATGTTTACTTGTCAGACATGATGACTAGAATGAATATCTCTTATTCCTTTGTTTGTATATAGAGTCCTGTTGCTATGACATGACCTGCACTCCAAAGCAGCTGCTGGTTAACTGCTAAGACTCCTGAAGAAAAGGAGGTCAAATACTGTCTATAAAAAGAACACCTATAATGCTGTAACCGCCTGTAAATACTCTCAAGACTTCTTTTGTTACTCTTTATGTGAAACATTTGATTAACTTATGTCTAATAATTTTCTATACGTGGTAAAGTTTTGATAGTATACAAAAAATGTTACATAAATATATCATCCATTTTCTCTTTGTTTTCATCGCTGAATAATTATAATTATTTTCATATAAGTGAAAAAATAAAACACAAATTAATGTATTAACAAAAACTAATAATTAACATCTTTGTATACTCTAGTGTTTTTATATATATATGAATACTGAAAATTAATTTATATTAATATTTTATATATTACAAAAATTTATTTATTTAAGAAACAATAACTAATCCAATTGGTAAATAAATTGTTATTATTATTTAAACAAAGTATAGTTACATAATATCATTCTCTTTAGATAAGATAATTTTATGCATGTCCAAAGAGAGGCCTATTTATGCATCATATATGCATATGTCAAAATTACCTTCTTGTGTATATATTTCACCAAAATATTGTGCTGTTCCTCGTATTTCTGATATTGACAAGGAAATCTACACTTGAAATTTGTTAATAAAAATTTGTAATAACAATCGGAAACATTTATTATATGAAAATTTAATCATAGCAGAAACAGCTGTATTTACAAAGATGATTTATTCAACTTTCGTAAGATTGACGTTAGACAATGAAGTTTGCTAAAAGTTAATAATCTTAAAGCGCACTCTATGATTATTTACCGCCAAAATTTTTGAAAATATGAAAAAAATAGATAAGACATTACAATGATGATATTTGACTAACAATTATATATATATATATATATATATATATAACAATTAATATTCGTTAATTCTTTTAAATTATTTCAGGGAAGTCAAAAAATAAAAACCAAATTTGAATAAATGACGCATATTAAACCAGATTTAAAAATGCTTAAGTGGACAGACAACATTGATTCACCATAAAAGGGAACGCTGATTCATATTGGCTACCTTGAGGACACCTGTAAAGATCATACGAATTTCACTAAAATCTATAGTTTCTTTCTTCTCTATTATTTCGATGAGACAAAGAAGAAAACAGGTATTTTCAAGGCTAAAAATTTATTAAGTCTCGATTATTCATCGATTATTTTCCGATAATCAAAATAAAATAAATAGAAAAAAGAAAATAGTACGAATAATTTTATACGTCAAATCGACAATTAAATCTCGTAACAATTTTATTGATTATAATATCACAACGTGATATTTGTTCATTTTATTTTATGAACTAATTAAAAAAACAAAGTATCAATAAAGTAAATATATAAATTCATAGATATATGTGTAATTCTAATTTGAAATAATCGATATTCCGTTGACATATATTGCATATATTTACATGTATTGCGATCGTCACGACAAAAAATGTATCACTTGACACCGTCTGTCATTCGTTCCTATGTTTAGAATGCGCCCTTTAATGAATTTTTTTAGATCAAATTCATGTATATATTTATCTATTTGGTTTAGTTAATCAATTGATAAAGATAAGTCGAATTGGCAAAACTGGTATACATTAGAACATAGATGGCAATGATAGTTTGAATGATCGAATCTCAGGTGATGGAGTGCATCGTATTAAATTCATCATTAATCTCGGACGACAAGAAAATCGGTCAACGACTTTCAATCGGCGTGCATACGGTGAGAAGTACCGAACACACGCGCCATATTCATATTATTGCGTAAGGCCAAGGTATTGGCCCATCAAAAATGTTAAGCTGTGGTAGAATTATTGGACAACTGTCTAAAGTAACAAGGCACGCACATACTAATCATTCCTATCGAACTTTAAAATATGTCGGTAAGAATTTAGTCATATTTTTCCTTATAAATTTCGTTAATCATTATTAGTACCCCTCGTGTGAATGATTGCTTTCGGTACCTGTAACCTCCCTTCGGTTTAGATTGAAATATTCATAACAACCGATCGTTCTATCATATTTTTTCAATGAATTTGTCAATTGTGAATTAGTATTTAATTTCTTTTCTTTACGTATCATTTATATTAATCATTTTAAATTGATATAGTGTTTACCGTTTACATGTGATACTTCCACTCTGAAGTATGCCACAAGTAACATAACCTTAATCTATTATTGTTAAAAAATTTTTGTTTATTTTAATATATTCTTTTTAAACTTATAAATATCTTTCACATGTAATAGAATTGTTCCATTGTAGTCTTATTTCAGTCGATCAAAAGTTATTAACATTATTTGTAATGTTCTAGGCATTTTCAGTGTTAATAGATTGTGTTATAGTAATAATGCAAATAATAAGAAACCATATAGGACACCTGGTACTACAATAAAACCAGAGGAATGTTTACCTGAGTCTAAATATTCTAAACCAAAGAAACCGCTTCCTGCTTGCGAAGCTCAGCGTGATGGTACTTGTCCACCTTCTTGTAAACCAGATTATACACAAGAAGATGGTAATGGGAAGAATGGTAAATTTCCAAATTGGAAACATTTATTGGCCACCTTGATAATAGCAGGAGTGACTATTTATGCGGTATAATATTATTATTATTATTTTATAGTTTTAGTAGCATAGCAATTTGCCATATTAAATGATATTACATTTTTTATTATAGATTTCTTCTGCAGAATGGTTTACGGATAAATTTGACTCACAGTCTGACACAAAAAGTAATAATTGCTTATCATATTTGTTCAGTCATTCTATATAAACATATATCTAAAATATATATATATATATATATTTGGTAATTATACAACTTAAATTGCATCTCTTATTCTTAGAAAAAAAAGATACAGAGAAAAGATATAGAAGATCAAAGGATGTAATAAAAACTCCAGCTGTGTCTAAATCAATACCTCAGGAAGTACCTTACCTACTGATAGGTGGAGGAACTGCTGCATTTTCAGCATTTAGGTCAATTAAATCTAGGGATCCCAAAGCTAAGGTATAGTTCATATCACTATAGTACAAGTTTATATTTTAAATGATAATATATAAATGAATTCTATTTAGGTTTTAATAATAAGCGAGGAAGAAGATTTACCATATATGAGACCGCCATTGTCTAAAGAATTATGGTATAATACAGATAGAGCAACAAGTGCAAAATTAAATTTTAAACAGTGGAATGGAACGCAGAGAAGGTAGATTAAAATTAATTGTATGATATATTTCAATTCATTTATAAACAATATAGTATAAACATTGTATATCAGAACTTATATACAGTATTTTACTAAATTACATTAATTTTCTTTGTAGTCTTTTTTATGAACCACGTGAATTTTATACGAACGTTGATAAGCTAATGCAATTAGATAAAGGTGGGGTAGCTGTAGCAGTTGGTTGGAAAGTAACCAAAATTGATGCTACAAATAAGATTGCTGTACTTGAAGATGGTCATGAAATCAAGTATGATAAATGTCTTATAGCAACAGGTAAATTTCTTTTACATTTCATTTAAAAATGTAATAACTTTAATTTTAATTCGTATTTATTTTAAGGTGCTTCGCCTAAAAATCTTCCATTATTTGAATCTGCTCCGGATGAAGTAAAAGATAAAATTATAGCCTATAGAACAAAACAAGATTTTCTTGAATTAGAAGACAATATTCACAATCCTAATTGTAAAAATATAGTTATTATTGGAGGTGGTTTTCTTGGCTCAGAGCTAGCTTGTTCACTTGCAAGAAATTGTAAGTATCATATTATTCTTATTTAAGCGTCCTTCTCTATATATTTATTTATATATTAATTTTTGTATCAAATAGATCAAGACAAAAAGATAATCCAAGTTTACAAAGAAAATCATATAATGGCTCAAGTATTACCTGAGTATTTGAGTGAATGGACAACAAAGAAAGCTATGGCGGAAGGGGTAATTTGTACGCCAAGTGTAGAAGTTTCGGATTTTTCCTACAAAAATAAGAAGCTCGATCTTATCCTATCTGATGGCAATATAGTAAGTAGCATATTTTTTTTATAAAATGTATGAATAATATTAAATATTATAATTATATTATTTTATAAAGATTGAAGCTGATCAAGTAATAGTAGCCATAGGAGTCGAACCAAATGCAGATTTGGCAACATCTTCACAATTAGAAGTACATCCTAATGTAGGAGGTTTTCTTGTTAATGCCGAATTAGAAGCAAGAAGTAATCTGTGGGTTGCTGGAGATGCTGCATGTTTTTATGATGTTAGATTGGGTAGACGAAGAGTAGAACATCATGACCATGCTGTAATTTCGGGTAGATTAGCTGGAGAAAATATGACCGGTGCAGGTAATTTAAATAGCACAAATTAAAATACTAAGGAAAAATAAATAATGTGAGCATAAATACAAATGTATAATTTTTTATATGTATATATAGGTAAACCTTATTTGCATCAGTCTATGTTCTGGTCTGATTTAGGACCAGAAGTAGGATATGAAGCAGTTGGTATTGTAGATTCATCTTTCCCAACTGTTGGAGTATTCGCAAAAGCAACAGAAGCGGATACACCAAAAGCAGCTCTTACTGAATTAGCGGATGAAGAGGTATAACAGTATATTTTTCAAGATATTAAAAATATTTTTCATTTTTTTTTCCTCCTTATAGAAAGCCATAGCACAGACGGAAGCGATTAAAAAAGAAGAAACACGATTACAAAATGATAAACAATCTCCAACCTCAGGAAATGAAAATAAAGATGTGAAAAATGTGACGGATGAGAAGGAACCTAAAAAACATAGTGATTTTGAAAAAGGTGTTGTATTCTATCTACGAGATGATGTTGTAGTTGGCATTGTACTTTGGAATATTTTTCATCGTATGTCTATAGCTAGACAGGTACGTAATTTTTTCTCATTAAAAATTATAATTAAAAATTTTGTAGTTCTTTGTTTAAAACTCTCATAAATAAAAACACACATTTTATGTTATAATATTAAAAATATTGATTATAAATATTGTACTTTGACGTAGGTACTAGCAAGAGGCACAAAATATGATGATTTAAATGAAGTAGCAAAACTATTTTCCATTCATGATGACTAATAACATTGACTACAGTGTGTGGTATGTGTATGACAATATTATAAAGTCACTATGCTGTACATATTTGAAATGTTTATATAAAAGTCTCCAAGCAATATCACATTATATATCTATGAGTTTTTAGAATGTATGGTATGTACAAATATCAATGATATTCCATAGTATACACTGAGCATTGTTAGAAATAGTTCACAAAATGCATTTATGGAGTAAAATAAGTCGAATAAGAAACGCATTGTACAGAATATTAATTATTGTTTAATAACATTTAAAAAAAAACGATTTTGCTAAAACATTTTGTTTTACAAAGAAATTACACATTACCTATTTATATAAATATTATGTTTTTCAAAGAAGAATTTATACTGTTTATATAAATGTAATGAGTTTTTCTTTATTTTCTTATTGTAAATGTACGCACAGAAATCCTTTATAAAAATTCTTTGCTTTTCTCATGAAAATATTTTTATGATAATGCATTTAGAAAAATTCTTTCTTAAATACACGAACAAAGAATCTTTTTTTTTTAAGGATCTTTTCTTCAAGTATATGTCGTTTAATTTACAGTATCAGTTTCATCGTTGGAATATAATTTTCTTGCAGTCATTATTGGTAATATTTTATTTCCATACCTCTTAGCTAATTTATCCATAAATGTAATGTAATCATGACACCGATAGTCATTTAATACCTACAAAAATAAATTTAAATTTAATTGTAATTTTAGAGCAGAGACTTATAGATTACAAAGAATAAAATTTACCATATATTCTGGCCACATTTTTCCGTTCGTAATATCTTGTATAAATGTTGTCCTGCAGTGATATATTAAAGATACACAATAATATATTATATAATCGGGTGAATATAAAATAGAAATAGCAAAAAAATGTTTTATTTCTTGCCATGATAATATTCCCCAGAAACATTGAGTCAATATTGTTGTACATAACATCCACCAATCGATACCACAGGTATTCTATTTTAAAGTAAAATTTTAAGTTGCTTTTTTCTAAATAAAATATATATCTTTGATTTACCTTTAATGCATAAGCTATGTTCGGCATTTCGCTGTGAATTATACTTTCTAAATATTGTGCAAATATAAATTGAGTTGAATACTTCTCTTTATTGCTTTTATCAATAGTTTTACCAAAAATAGGCCATATAAATAAAATACACGGGAAGCAAATTAATTTTTTAATAAATATTTTGCATCTGTAATATATATATTTATATATATATTTCATATATTAATGTATACTAATGATGTATTTATTACTTGGTATTAAAACAGGTCAATGAAGAAAATGAAATAATTTAGACATAATAATAATATTGTGGTGACTAAGTTTTCAATCTGAGACCTACTACCAATGATGATACTTGATTTGCTAGAGTTATCCTAAATCTAGGCAACAGTATCTTTTCACGCTTTATAAGTAATAATTTTACAAATAATATATTAAAGGACTACTCTTTCACTACTACTGTAAAATATTACTTACAAAGATAGAGAATATAACTCGTTGCTAAGAAGGGTGTATTCGCGGTCAACTGAGGTATTTAGTACAAATTATTTAAAATTTTTCAAAATTGAAAAAATCTTACTTGTCCATATCTGCTTCACAAATAAGAAACACAGTTGATAAAAACCAATCAAAACCTTTAAACTTATTAGACTTTTTATATTTTATAAATATGCACGAAGCTTGTAAAAATTGTTTAAATGTTTCTTTATTCATCTCAGAATTTTGAAGAAGTCCATGTAATTCAGCATATTGTAAAACCAAATCAATTCCGTGCAATTCTTCTGAAAAGAAAAAATCTGCATTGTATACAAAATTTTCTGGCCATTCAAATTGATCTGCCCATTCTGCAGTTGGAATAGCTTGCCACATTTGATCTAGTAAATTAATCAAAACTGTATTCTAAAAAGAAAAAAAATGAGTAATTATATAAAAATTAATAGCAATATAAATTTATTTATATATCTTTTGTTACTGTTTATGATTTATACTTTTATTGAATCTGTAGAACTTATATATGCATTCCTGACTTGTAATATCCAACTAGTATCCAATAGTCCAAGCTTATTTTCATGTAACATATCTTCTAATTCAGTAATAGATTCTATATCCTTAAAAAGTGCTTTTTCTGTGGTAACGTCAGGTGGTGGTAATGTTGAAAACAATTCGTATTCTTCTGGTTCAAATATATTATTCGTATTTTCATATTCTTTTGATAATAGTTTATTAGGATACTTATGCTTGATATAATATGAATTAGATAAAATTTTATGCCGGAGTAAACTAGATTCATCTATTATGTATTCTTCTCCGATTTCATCGTCGACTTTAATATTAATTATGCAATGATTTTGTAAATTCAATAATTCATTCTATAAAAAAGTATTATATAGATTTTTATAAAGAAAACGTTATATATAAAAATTTGTGTGCAAAAATATAGATTATAATTTGTTACCTGAAAATTTAATTTTTCTATAAAATAAATATAAAGGTCTAAATTCCAAATAATTGTGTTTAATGATAAAAGTCCTAAGTAATGATATGCCGAATCAAATTTAATCGAACATTGCATTAATTCAGTCAAATTATTCGGAATTTTTTGCTCCTCATAATTTCCAAACTTATTAGTACTTATTATAAATGAAGTAAAACCTGTTAGAATAAAAATATAATATCAGTTAAATGTATAAATGAATTTATTAATATTAAATCTTATTAATTTTGTTTATATTATACATTTAAAATTGAGAGAAAATAGAGCAATAATATGTATAAATTTGTCTACTATTGGATTTTCCCATGGATCATAAAAACAATGTGGATCTTCCAATGTTTCACAGGTTTCTGTTAACAACTTAGATAAAACATGTGGAGCCAAATCTTCAATAACTTCACATCCTAATTTAAAATATCCAGCGGATGATACGAAACTAACAATCTCAGTGGATGTCCATGAATTTCTTAAGGGTGCAATAGATCCACGTACTAGTTCTTGAAATGCTAAATACTCGCGTGTTAAATCTTGTAAACCAAATGGTATTGATACGATTTTAAGTACCATTTTGTTAATTATGCTGAAATGGAAAAACATCTATGTTTCATATAATTAATTATTCATTTTTTAACTTAATATAATGTACTAATATAATAAATAATTATCAATTCTGTTTCTTACCCATCTAAATATTGAGCTTTATTTCCATTTTCGATAAAATATTTATCTAATTTACTGTAAAAATGTGATACAGCAGGATAAAATTGATTTTCTATTACATCTTGTACAACTTCATAAACATTAAATATACTAAATAATTTTGTTATAATTTTAGATAAATTACAGATATACTCAGTATTCATAATAGAAAAAGGCTGTTTTAAAACATTAGATATGTGCTGCATAATAATCAATGCAGTACAATGTGGTTTTGATTCTTGAAAATTTATTAAAATTTCTGAGCCATTAACAGTATCCAACATATGCATTATCAAATATAGCATATGAGGCCAAATTCTTAAATCATTCTCAGAAGAATTATTTAAAGAGTATAATGCAGCATCATAAAAATCAGTATCTAACGATATTGTAGGCCTGTTTAATACATTTTGCAATGCCTGACACATAATATTGTAAATGCCACTTGCTATCCCAGAAGATGATAATTCATTCAATGTATTTATTAATGTAATTAAAAATTCAGTTACAGAAAATTGAACGTTTAATGAAGTCTCGGAAAGTAATTGGCGACCTGCTTCATAACTACATAACTGTGATATAAAGTTTAAACAGTGAAGATAAGTAATTGTTTCTATTGTCTCTCCAGAAATACATGCTTCTATGGGTTCGTCACAGATAGAAATAGATGTATATATAGGAGATTTATTCAAGCCTTTGGTAATGCATTGTATAGCATATTGAAGTAAACTTGGTGATTTAGTTAATATAGAAAAAAATGTTCTTCTAGTAGAGAATTTATGAGTCCATCTTTTACTCCAGTCAGCCTGTGGATCTAATGTTGCAACAATATTTAACATAGACAATGTTTTAACTTGCATTGAATTACCAAATGTATGAGTACTTAAAAATATTATAAATTGTTCTATTATTTCTTCTGTAGTTTTATCAACATTTCTTATACTCTTTAATAATTCTTCTTGATAATGTATTATCAAATACATAATGCGAATTAATTTTTCGTGTAAGAAAAATTTGAAATTAATTCCAGATATTAATGAGGGTAACATTTCGTGTACTTTATGCGTATGATATTGAGCATTAAAAGAACTCAATAAATTTGTATACGCATCATATGCCTTTGGACAACTTAATAATCTAGCGTGGACTTGCAAACTAGCTTCAAATATGGCTCGACTTTCACCCATAAGACTATCTTTTAAAGTATTTTGAAGAATATCCCACTGCGAGATAGCTGTTACATTTGTCAAATCACTTTTTAATAATATCTCATAACCTGCTAATCTCACATGTATAGGTTTATCACAACTTATTTTATCTATAATATAATTATATTGATCTTCAACATTTTTTGGAGAATTCAAATCTTCTACAGTTATATCACTCACAAAAGAGGCAGATGACCGAGAATGAGATTCCATTGTTGCACTGTTATCAAATTTGGAATCTGAATTCTGTTCAGTAATAATCATTTTCATAGAATTCATTAAAACTTGCATTTCTTTAGAAGAAATAATTCTTTGGGCTATTTCTGAAGAATCTTGATTCTCCTCTAAATTATCCTTAATTACATTATCAAATTCTTTTTTTATGCATTTTTTTATCCATTTGTTAATATTTGGCAACATTCTTTTATCCATTAACGTAAAATCAAATTAATTTTTTTTTTATATATATACTAAAGTTTTAACAATTATTATATACAACCTACCCTTGTGTGTGTGTGTGTGAGAGACAATAATTTATATATACTGAGTTTTATACGTACATATCTATGCGTAGAAATGCAAGACTCTTTTGGTTGATTACTATAGCAACCATGGTAGAAATAAACACAATTAAAGTATATTCGCGCAGGAAGAGTATACAAATAATCTAGACATTATCTTTAATCCAAACAAAATTATATGTAATATTCTGGATCATTATAAATCGCATCATATTTTTTTACGATCTTATATTTTTCACATAATAAACGAATATATATATATATATATATATTTCATAAATGTATTTACCGTATAGATACTATAATATTAGGAGATTTTGTTCGTAAAGCATAAATACCACCTTGTAAAGAACATACTCCCGTGACACCACATTTTACAAGAAAGTCCGCAAACTATAAATAACACATTAACAAAATTTAAATTATACATAAATTATATGTCAATCATATTTTTTATAAAATATCTGTAAAATTGTATATATTTACCAGCGCATTATTTTGATCATGGGGTCCTATAATAACGACTATACAATTTTTATTATCTACAAGAGGTTTAGCATGAGGTCCAAGAGTGTCAATATTCGTTTGAGAGAGTTGCACACTTGTGAAAGGAATATTGATACTTCCTATAACAGCTCCTCTTTCAAATCTGTTAACACACAGAATCGTTATTTTTTGATATTAATATAAATGATATTATATTATATATTAAGAATAGATATTTTATATTTATTCGTTAATATGTGCTCACTGTATGTTATTACGTATATCCACAGCTATTACTTCATCAGGAGTATTATTTAACAGATTTAAAAAATCATCTACACTTATTCTTGGCATTTTTTCCGTTCCTGGTTCAGGATCTGTCCAATTCATTTCCTAACATTTAAAATAAATATATATTATAATAAAACTTTACGAGAATGTCCAATATAATACACATATATTTTCATTTTAGTACTTTTGATCTATTCAATTGATGTTTTCTGTACGTTATACTAGGTGGTGTATTTTGATACATAGTCATGGAATCTTTTACACATAATTCTATATCAATTTCTGGCAGATCAGAAAACAAAAGAATACATTCGTTAAATCCTGACGCAAGTAAAGAATCTCTTAATTGTTTTAATATTGCTAATCCAACTAAAAGTGGGAATGATGAATCTCCTAATAAAAGTTTATCCCACAAATGCAATATTTTGTGTAATGGAAATACATCTGTAACATTTGAGATATATTAATAGGAAATGAAGTAAAAATGACTAAAAAATTATATATACTTTATAAATGTAAAAACTTACGTGAAAACATAGTAAGAAACCATGGTATAGCAAACAATTCGGGAACAAAATTAATAGATTTCAAATGATTTGCCAATTGTGGATCATGGAATGCAATAATTTGAGAAAATTTTCCTAAATATTCTTGTATTACTGCAGAATTATCTTTTAGAAAGAACTTATGAAGATATTTTGGTATGAATGCAGATAAACATTCAAATGCTCTTGCTAAAATGATATATAGATATATATGTATAATTAATTTATTAATAAAATTGATTAATATAATAAAATGAAGTAATTAATTACAAGTACCTTCATTATTAAAGTTTAGGTAAAGAAATGGTGCTGTTAATGAGTCTAACCCTTGCCAATATACATAGTGTGGATTATTTCTAACCCATGCTTTTAATAATCTTTGTAGTCTTTCATGTCCTGACCCAGATGATAATAATTCACTATATTGATGACATCTTGGTATATCTACTTCTATCTAACAAATATTTTTGATAAAAAAAAAATTATAATAAAATATATTACATTTTTCTTTGAAAAATAAAGAAGAAAAGTTTGTTAGTCCACTTTCATAAGATATACATTTCATTACCTGCCTATCTGTATGTGTAGGTGTTTCTTTATCAATCATGTCATATCGTTGTTGAACATCACCGGTAATATCAAGTAAAGCTGCCCAAACAGCTCCACGAACCAACGGTGGAATATCTTTATGTGCCTCTTTAATAATTGCCTCTCGTGTAAGTGGTAAAATCTATATGAAATTATACTTGTAATATAATACTATTACGTAAACTCATAATATATATTTATTAATTAAATATTACCTGCAAGAGTCTGTCATATAAAACTAATCTATAAAATTGATATTCTGTATCTCTTTCTCTTATTATCAATGGTAACTGTGACGCAGCACTTGTTAAATCTTCCTGCGCATGGACACGCATTCTGTTAAATTTGAATTATTATTTATCTCCTATTATATTACAAGAACAAAGAGTAGTAAAATGCTTATAATGCAAATATTTACTCAGGAGTTAACCAAGGATAATTAGCAATGTATGGAATGTGAGACAAGCGTTGATGTAAAGTATCTAAAGAAACTTTAACAACTCTAAGATCAAGTAAGCCAGCTGTATCTCTTCTTCCAAATATTTGTCCTAATAATATTACTAAACTGTAAATAAATATATATTTAGTTATTTTTAAAATTAAAATCGTATTCTTAGTTATAATATATATTGATATCTATATTACTTAGGTATAGATAAAATAGGTGGTCTTGATCTAATGAGGCCTTGTTTTTTTAATTCTACTGTGATATCTCCTCCCGCTAATTGCCAAAGATAATACAACTCATTCATTTTTCTAACAATCACGTTTTTGTATTGACTTTCTTCCTTTTCCTGTTCATTTTGCATTAAAAGATCTATGAATAATGGTAATTGTAATAGTTCCTCTGGTGTTTTACGTTTTGATGAATGTACTTGTAAACAAGAATCAACAAATTCTTTTATTTCGGAAGATAATTCCTAAAGAAGAAAATAAATAAAAATGACATCTCTAATATTGCATTATCAAATTATAATACACATATATTTCAATACCTCATAAATATCAAAACAATTATGTTCTCTTGCAAGACGCTCAAATACAGAAGTTTCGCAATGTATAAGACTTAGAGCTTTGCGTAAACATTGCGATAACTTTACTCCAGACCAGATTTGTTTTTTCAATAATTGTTCTGCAATTATTATTCCAAGTGACCAAGAATCTACCTTTATACCACTGAGTCCATTACTTAAAAATACTTCTGGAGCTGTATATTTTGGATACCTGAAGAGAAATTATAATAAAATCCATTCTAATGCAAGAGAATATTTCCATTAAACGTACCCAATTGGAAAAGATACATTTTTTCCTCTGTCAGTCATATAATACAAGCCGTAATTGTATAATTGTACATTTCCAGTTTTATTTATAAGTATATTATCTGGACTTAAGTGTCTATGAACTAGACCTAAATCATTCATTTGTCGTAAACCTAATAGACACTGGAATGCAATCTTTACAATATCATTCATGCATAGATCCTTTTTAATACTTAAAGGTTCTCCATTATATTCAGAAACTACCACTATCCTTTCTGTAAATTATAAAACACTGATTGTATCATTGACTATTAATGTTTGAAATTGTATGATTTAGAAATTCAATACGATACCATGTTTACTTCTAATAATATCAAGATATTCTGATAAATTTGGATGACATATAGTTTTTAAAAATTGAGATTTCCCATAAATAGTTATGGAGTTTGGTGTTAATGGAAGGCCATTACTTCCGCAAACTTCAACTGGATGACTTTGAGCAAAAAATGTCATTCCACCCAAACAACGCTCTTCATTTTCCAATAACGCAGGACACATTTTTGAAACTGTACATAAAAAAGATTCTAATTATAAAAATATTATATTTATTAATAATAAACATTTTTTACTTTTATCAATTTATTACCATAGTATTATTACTTTGCAATTATTACAGTTTTATATCCTTTATTCTTCTCATTAAAGACATATATTTTGTTTAATTGTTTATTTATATCGTTTATTGAAAAATAATATTGTTCATGCATTTAAAACATTATCACAAATAAACTGATACGTTTTAAAAAATATATTTATAAGCGATCATAGAGAATGAACTTATTGCAATTGTTTCGCAAATTAAAATTTAGTTTACTCTGTCTTATCTGTCATGAACTGTGCTATCAACTCTTCTCATATAACACAGTAATAATAATAATACATTTATATATAGTGTAGAACTATAGTAGATTGATACTTCGGTTTATAATCTGTTGTAAAATATTTAAAACAATATTTGTTATATAAAACATATGCATTTATCACTTTTTTGCGTAATAAAATAGTAAATATATTTGGAATAACATTACTGTTAACACACTATATATATATATTACTATTCCATTAATTTATATATCTGTATTATATATATATATATATATATATATATATGTATATAAGTTATATTTACATATATGTATATGAAAAAATCAGTTTGTAATATTAAAAAATATTAAACAATAATATGCAATCTTTCAAATGTATATTTTTTTCTTCAATGAAACAGTGAAATAATCTAACATTGATAATATGTGTTTACACAAAACACTCATAATAAACAAAAAGATAATTATAATTTAAATAAAATCACATGACATTATTTTCATTTTTATGTAAGATGATTATTGGTCTAACAAAATATCGAATGTTAAAACTTTTTAATCGATATGAAACTTTAGAAATCTTTCTTATATGTTTTATTCTATGCATTTAAATCCATTTTCTACTATGTGAGTTGCCCATCTAGTATTTTTTTTTACTTCACGTTACAGAAGACGCTTAGCGTGGCGGTCTTTCCGGTTCAATCATTTAAGAAGAGCAGTTCAACATCTACTACTGGCTCGTCTACTTCTATAAAATGACGTGAGTATTTTATCGCTATATATCTTATTAATCTATAATATTTATTTGTAGATATACTTACAAAATAAATAATACGATCCGTATTAATTTATTACTATTATTATTTTTTTTCTCAATAATGATATTTTCGAAAAATATGCAATTCCAAACCATCTGGTTCTTTTGAAAGTAATTAATCCTTATAATTTTTCGCTAATCGTAACTGATACTTTTCAAAGATATATATTAAAAAATACATATTTAAAAAAAAAAGAAAAATTTTTCATTATTGCTAAATAATATAAAAGTTAATTTTTATAAATTAAAAAGAGTATTGTACTATGGGTTATAACCTCTACATTATAGGTCTAAAGTATCACGTGATACTCTTTATGAGTGCGTTAATGCAGTACTGCAGAATTCAAAGGATAAGAAGAGGAACTTCTTGGAAACGGTGGAACTACAAATAGGACTTAAAAATTATGACCCACAAAAGGATAAGCGTTTCTCAGGCACCGTTAAGTATGTTTCAACCTGACTGAGGGTTCTTTTCGGGGTTTAATTATTATATTATTAAAGAACAATTTAATATTATAAAACACGAAAAGGTCACTTCATTAATCGTCAGGAAGCTAGGTCTTTACCTAGCGGACCTTTACCCAGGGTCTTAAAATACTGGGGAGGTATTGTACCGTTATATATTTTATTTCAGGATCATGTTTTATGATCCTTCCGGTAAGTTTATTTAAAATGTGGTGGCATTTTCTAATTTTATGCATTAATCAATGTTCTATGATGGTATTTAAGCATGTATTATCTGATCTACATATTTATGCTGTAGCAATTATAATTTATCTGAGAATATTGATATTATGCAATTTTATTAAATTATATAAGAAGACTGTACAAGTAGAGTGTCGATTGTCTGAATGAATTGGGATTCGATTATCATTTTTCGAATAATAGGTCTAATAAAATCAAATGCTTAATTATCTCATAAAACGATTAAAAATTTAGCAATTTTTTTTTGTAATCTGAACGGTTTATAATTAAACAAATATAGCCAATGGCCTAGCCACGATTCATTCTTTATTCGGATAATCAACACTATACTGTACTACAATATTTAAGCAGATAAAAAGTTCTAATAGAAATAGGTTTTTTTATATATATATATATATATATATTTGTACATTTTGATTAATTGGATGCACAAATACCATAGTTAATCCTAAATAAATAAGAAGTCTCTTATGACTGGATATTGAATTAATATCCAGTTTATATGCATATATTTTTTATTACTATCAGATTGAAGAACATTCCTCGACCAAAAATGCAAGTATGTGTATTGGGTGATCAACAACATTGTGACGAAGCCAAAGCTAACAACATCCCATATATGGATGCAGAAGCTTTAAAAAAATTGAACAAGAATAAAAAATCTGTTAAGAAACTAGGTACATATTATCAGATTTTTAAATTTAATAATTGCAAATATTTAAATTATGTTCAATAATACATACCTTCTTAAAAGCACCATCAATAATTTTTATTCGTAATATTGGTGGACGTCGAAAGGAAGGAGAGCAAAAATTCTGCACCGGGTGAGAGCAATGTGATCTTCCATATTGCTCCTCAATGAGTGCAGATACAATAATTTTTAAATAATATTGTTAATTATTAGAAATATAGCCATATACATTATTATTACTAAAATTCAAATTAATATTAGCAATGAAATTAAGTAATGTAAATATTAAATGCATAGGAACATACTAACATTACAATAATTTATCATTTTAACAGCAAAAAAGTACGACGCGTTTCTAGCCAGTGAATCTTTGATTAAACAAATTCCACGTTTGTTGGGTCCTGGTTTAAACAAGGCAGGTAAATTCCCTGGGCTTCTATCTCACCAGGAGTCAATGGTTGCAAAAATTGATGAAGTAAAAGCTACGATTAAGTTCCAAATGAAGAAGGTAAATTTTATATTATAATGTAATATTAAAAAAATAATATGATTGAAAATTCTATAATAACCATTTTTATTTTTTTTTAAATAGGTTCTTTGCTTATCGGTAGCAGTAGGACACGTAGAAATGACTCCAGATGAATTGGTACAAAATGTACATTTGTCTATTAACTTTTTAGTTTCATTGTTGAAAAAGCATTGGCAAAATGTACGTTCTCTACACATCAAATCTTCCATGGGACCTCCTCAAAGATTGTTTTAATAAGTTTAATACTTATACATGTGTGTGTGTGATGAATATAAAACACAATAAAATAAATGAAAAAAAATATATATTGGTTGTTACATAGAAAGCCTAAGTCGAGAATTTGTATCCGTCCTTTTATAAGCATATCGCTTATCTTGTAAAAAAAAAAAAAACGAAAAATATGACGTTGCCATATGTTCTATTTATTTCCCATTTATAATTATCTATAAAAATTGAAATGGTTTAGATACGATATGAATACCTACATTAGTCGCGATAGAATGCAAAGTAATTTTTGAAATTCAATTTAAAATTTTACATCCATTGTTATTTGTTTCATTCACAATTAGTATGTATAAAGTATATATGAAAACATTAATCACGATTTATTTTATTTCGTTTTTTCTTTGTATCTACCAACACTCACGAAGTTGTCGATGAAAAAAATTTCGATAATATCAATAAAGAAGATCTCTTCACCACGCTATCACGTCCCTTTTTTTTTTTGTTAAAATTCGCCCTTTTTCGTATCATCATCCTGCTCATTTTTGATCCTCCCACTATTATTTATTGCTAGCTCGTCAGTTCCTCCACCATCTCTAAAACCCGCGAATATTTACCCCTTTCCTCCTAGAAAGAATGCGGGTCTAATTGGCTGGAACGGCTGGCCGCTATTTTGCGTGAACATTCAAATGTCTTTTTATTTGTGATTGATTATAAATTAAAAATGTATCTACTATAAACGTAGAAATAATACAACTATGTTACGAAAATTCTACTATGTGGACTTCCAAAGCAGTACAAGTGGGGATAGACGAAGAAAGTGAACATCTACTTCTATCCCTACGTCCTTAAATCCTTAGCTCCCGTTAAGTTACTAATATAATAAAAATCGTTGAATATGTTTCTTAAGCATAGTAATCAATTATACATGTTAATATTACTGATTTTACATTAACTATATACAAACAGTGAATAGAAATTTTTTGTTTTAAATAAATTTAAATATGCACAGAAAATTAATATATATATTACGAACTTACAAAAACATTATGTATATAACTAAAAAATATATATTGCAATGGAAATATAAAGAATTTTTCGATCTATGACAAAGTTCTACAGCAATTTATTTATGTTTGATCAATAAAGTAACACTAAGTGTCACTTTGAGTAAGAGTGAACTTTTTTATCAGTGATATCAGTGCTCAGCAAAGGCAACAAAATAAAAGAGATTGTAAATGAGTGGTTGAACAATGATTAGTATCAGGAAGCCATAACGCTTCTAAAGTTCCACGTTTTCAAAATAATCCCTGTATTCTCTTGAGTCTTTATTAAACGCGTCGATAGTGTATTTGCTGGAATATTATATTGTAACTCGTATATTGACGCGTGCAAAGTATAAAACGTGAAATTTGTGTTTGATATGTGTATTGAAATAAAAAAACAATATTAATTGGAACTGAAGATCAAGCCAAAGTTATGAAGGCAAGTTGACATGACAAAAATAATAAACTTCAATATTTTAATACTGACAAATATTTGTCACTCGATTCAAATAATATAATTGTAATTTAATATTTTACATAAATTTATAACTAACATTTTTAATTCGAATATAACATTATTTGTCTTATATAAAAAATAGTCGAACATAGGATTTTTAACTGATTTTAATACGATCGTATTATAATGTAATGTCTATTTTTAGTAATTCGAATGTTAATTGAATTTCAACGATAACATTTCAAAGATTTCTGATTTCGATTGATTCGATAAGATCGATGAACGCCTATCATGTATCGTGGGCATATAAAAAAAAATATATATGTATTTCTTTATAAATAAAAAAATAATATTACGATAAATTTCATTGACTATTTTAAATCTGGTTTATACAAATATTTTCTATATGTTTTACGTCCTTTTCAATCGTTATCTATCATATCTTTTGATTATGAGTATAAACATCGTAAAAAATGGACAATGTAGATATTATTATTTTTAAATTCTCTTTTCATCTTTATACAGAAATATATGATTTTATCGACAATAATGAGTTGCTTGTATCAATTCATTTGTAATATAAAATTTTTTCTTCGCGAAAGTTTATAATAAATAAATTATAAATAAAACTAAGAACAAAATGACATATATGATATAATACATTAATTATACAAAAAATAATCTATATATATATATATATATATATATATAT